GTCCAGCTGCCCCTTAGGCCTCAGATCCCAGCCGCCTCATGGGGGCCACTGAGCTAATACCAAAATTGATGTTTGATAGTCTTCATTACATATAATTGTGGGAAAGTTGATGAAGGTCATTGACCTACAGCCTGAGCTTCTAGAGAATAATATTAACAGAGTATTATTACTATATCAAATGTTAATTACATATTTTACTTATATTGTTTTTATGTTTGTTGATATGGTCTATGTTTTTATTTCATATTTGTTACTAATTAAATTTAAGAATTAATTTAATTTTCAGGCTTCATAGTAAAATTGATACATTATATACCAATTTAATGATAAATAACACCTGTGGAATTAAACACATAATTGCACGGAAGGTTACAGTGTGATTCAAGATCGTATTTTGTGATGTACTTATATGAGTTGAAGACCTGTCTGACAGACTGACCTAAGGGCAGTCATTTGTGTTTCATTAGTTGCTTAGCAGGGATCTGTTAGTTCTTTTCACTTTAATGTTGTTCCTTTTGTAACTGAATCAAAATACGTGCCTACGGTACTTATTGGCCATCACAGGTCTTATGTATCAAATGCTTTTTGTAATTTTGTGGGTGAAGAACACGCTTACCTTCCAATATTAACATACTGGGTTGAAATCAACAAAACTAGGATTTTCTCATGACTTAAAAACTTTACTGCCGAATACACTCACACATATAGAACCAAAAAAAGCGATTTAAAAAAGCGATTTTCCTACTGAGATTCATCGTACACATATTCTCACACACGCAAACATTCTTGCCCAGAAAAGTAAGCTGCCTTTTGCACCATACCATATATTTCTATCCTTTAATTTGTAATTATAATTTGTGTTGGATAGAAACAAAATGTAAAAAGTGTACCTGAGTATAGCTGTGATTCGAATTCTATAACAATGTAAAATGCACACTAATTATCAATAATTTTATTATTGTTATAATTATCACACATATTTCAAGCTAGTGAGCTTGAGGTGCAGTGTCTAATATAAAAAAATAACAGAAAAGAAAAATAATTGTGGAAAACTAAAACTAATATCCAAATGGTCTCTCCCTCAGCTGCTGGTGTAGCATTTATTTTTTACACAGGTAATGCAGGCACAAGATAGTATACAGATAATGCAGGCATTATAGTATACTGTATTAAGCATTGGTAATGTTCCCTGAATACTGTGAAAGGAAAAAGGTAGTGTCACATGATAAGCACTCTAGCCTTAGTATGCGCATAATACAAAACCGCAGATGCTTCAGTTTTTTCCCACCCACGTTTTAATATTTTTGCCTCGAGGATTGGAAATTTATAATTTGTTCACTCAAATAGAAAGTTAGTTTCAAATCTCCATTTTATTGGGCACTTAAATATGATACATGACAAAAATTTATAACAAGTAAAAAAATCTTAATCTCAATTGCCTTGGGGATGTAGAGAATGCAGGAAAGCTTTGTACAGGTTCATATCGGTAGTATTAAATTTTCCAACATAAACAATCTTTTTAGAAAAAACTCCGCCTTAAGAAAATAATGTGGCTGTCTGTTTGCGTCAGTTGGTGCAGACTTTGCCCTAGGGTTGCACATCTCCGTTTTGAAATTGTAATAATTTATTGGAAATTGTCGGCTTCTGGCTCCTTGGTGTACCGCATGAAATTCATCAGGAACTTCCTGGCTTTAATTAGGGAAGTTGGTGGCAAGGCACGTCTCTTTGGCCACTGCCCTAAGGATGATTGCTGGCCTGCTGGTAACAAGTTGATTCCGATAACTTTAGTGTTGTATCCCATGCTCTGTGCATATTATATTTGCCTATCTTATTTGAATTTCAATCTTATACTGTCAAATCAAATTAATAGGCTTAATTTGTTAATGGTGTTTAATTGTTTTAGTAAAGTAAATTTTTAGTAACTTGGAATTGAAACCATGAGTGGGCTTAATTATCAAATTAAGATTCTACCAAGTGAGAGCCGTGATTTCTTAATTTATTTTAAATGGTTTTCTTTCATTTTAGTATTTCATCTAAGCATTATTGTCAATTTTGAATTCTGATGGGTAATTTAATTCAAATTGCAATTTTATATGAACCAAAACTCTTAATCTTCAATTTCTAGTTCACATTAAAAGAGGTCAATTTATTGTATCCTAATGAAAATAATTTTGAATGAACTTTTTTATTAGGTGGGCTTTTGAAACCTGTTTTGTTAATAATATTTGTTTTGGGTGAGCTATAAATCCAGTTTAAATAAAACCATAAACTCTTATGCTTTTAACAAAAATCACATGTTTAAGTGGCAGATATGTGTTCACATCAAAGCACTTTTCATAGCCTACATCCTCACATGGCCATTGACTCGAAAACATACTGAACTGAGCCTCCTGTGATTGGCTGATGCAATTTGTAAACCCATGCGTGCATCCTTCTATTTCATCCTCATTGGTGACTACATAATTTTGCCAACAGGGGAAGCCAACAAGTATGTCGGGGGTAAAACCTTGGGGCCTCTAATCAGGGTCCCAAAGTAAAACTCTTGAGGTGTATCCACAAAGTGATATTTTAAGATTTTTAAAGGTGGTTTAATGAAAATATATATTCATATACAATGGACCTTTGTAAAGTGTCTACTAATCAAAAAAGTAGTAATTGGTAGTGGCACTTCCATAAACACAAGTTTACAGCTATACGTTATGGCCATCGTTTTATTGGATTTTGCAACAATAACCAAGCGACTGTACTTAGTGGAGTGGACCATTGTTGTTTCATTTGTATGGCCCAAAATCAAATTCTGGGTACCTTTTAGGCTTTCGTTTTTATGACTGTTTGTTTAACTTTAACAATGTATCTATTCTGTTTGGATTTGATGAAAGGGAGATGTAAAGTCTGGTAGATAAAGGTGAGACTGTACCTTAGTTTATCAGGGTTTACTCTGTCATAGATAATTAAAAGATCTGTCATAGAATGAATGGAAATTATATTTCCTATCAATTAGCGTTGAGGGAGGAAGTATAGATTCGTACAATAGATTGAGCATTTTAGGGTGATAAGCTTTGCCTTGATTGAAGAGGTGCAGTATTGGATCCAGGAGTTGTATTCAATTTTTCAATTTCAAACTATCACTATCCCAGTGATACTCATTATATTAATATCCCTAAAAATACACTCTTCAAGCTTCAAGTAAATTTAATGATTTGAAAACTTCATATTTTGATGCACAACCTTCTACCATATTTATCATTTGGGTCACATAAAAAGTCTTATATAAAATATGATTATCACTAGTACAAATTAAATGTAAGTAGAAATATCTAAAAATGGAAAAAATATATATTTAAAAGGATGAATATTTATATTCAATGTCACAATTATAATTTTAGTAAAGATTAATTGTTAATGCCTACTTATTTCCCTTACTTGTCTATGGTATTTGTAATGATCTCAATTCTGATTGGTTACCTTATCTATACATGATTCACTAATAATTGGAATGCATTGGGCTCCCTTATTTTCTCCCAAGAATACATTTTAATTTGCCTCTTTGATCTTTTCTAAATTTCCTCATTAAATTTCAAGAACAATTTACCGCTATTTATAGCAGTATTTCTTTCTCCCAAGACTTTGCGTGATTTTTTATAAACACTTACAATGATCCAGAAACTGTAGCAGTTGAAGGTGATATTTTGTTTTGTGGTTTGTTGTGGTTTTTCATTTTCCTTTGTAAATTGTGTCCTGCACTTAGTGCACTTGTTAACATGAATAAATGTCATTAAGAGTGTCTGGACTATTTATACCACATGGTCTGAACTAGTAGGATATGATTTATTTGTGAAATTTTAGATATCTCATTTTAGATTTAACAATGTAAATTTGTATTTTCTACACACATGGATTATTTGAATGGAATTTTTTTAAATTTCTGTTTTAGATAGCAATGTAAATTTTAAAAACTTTCAAAGGTTACTCCACATTTTTGTTGATTTTCAGATTGGAATTTAGTGCATATAAATAATTGATGAAAACATTTTGGATTTCTTATTTCAGATAGCAATGTAAATTTTTATAACTTTCCAAAGTTTACTCCACCTTTTTGTTGATTTTCCACAAAAAAATAGATAAAATTATTCTTTTTACTGATGCTGATGCATGACTAATCAAGTATTTGTTGCAGAAAATTTACATATTCGTAAATTTCAGTGTCCCTCCTTCATTACTGTACTTTTTCTCAGACAAACTTTTCCGGGCCAAAACTTAAGTCTCCTGCTAAAATTAGTTGGAAGTAAATTATGTTAACGGACAGCCTTTTCCATGGCAAATGTCTTCAGTTAAAATTTGTTAAATTGGAAGTAAATTATATTAACAAATAATAACTTAATTTCTAGGCCACACTGCTTTGTGACTGAACATCTGTTCCCAAGTAGTTTGGCAGTAAAGCGGCTCACTTCCAAGTCCCAAGGGCTTTTATGTGCAATCCCCCACAATTGTCAGGTTTATTACCCAAGATTAAAACACTTTAATCCCAAGCTTCATAATGAAACTTGGTATTTGAACATAATTTCCATTCTTTAATTAGCCAGATACTTCCTCTTCAGTGTGAACAACTATAAAGAAATATTACACACTGTGGATTACATAAAATACGATTAATAGGTATCCTATTTTGCAAATTTGTGTATGTAATACTTTTTACCTGACTTGTTGCAATTTGGTATCTCAAACCTAATGCTGGGGAGGGGTTGTAGAAGGAGTTCATGCATACTTCGGCCTCTATCCTTGACAAGGCTCCTTGTCATATCAAAGTTGTCTTGTATATGAGAATGGTATGATGAAATGATATGATTTGCTTGCTAACATGCTTTGAACTTCAAAAATGTTATGATGATTGATCATGTTAGGTACACGAGAGACCAGCAATAAAATGCATTATGAGTGTTATATAGAAAAAGGAATGATTTAATTTAACTGATCATATGTTATGTTTATTTTCATTATAGATGTCTGACCCGTCAAGTACCCTTGTAATTGTGAACTCAGGTGCATCTGACCTTTGCCCTTCATCAGGAGCGATGGATGAGACGCAATTAACAAGCCCTGTTTTCACTCTAGCAGGTATTGTCAACTATTGTTCACTTTTCTTAATAGAAAAGTTAATAGAAAATTTGTTTTATTTATAATGCATTGTTCTGTAACAATTTGAAGGAATAAGGTATGACCCTCAAATTAAAAGGTAAGTAAAAAGCGTAACCAATGAAGTATAGAAATGCTATATAACACCGGAAATTTATATCCTTTATGCTTAATATATAGCTAGTCTCTTATACACATCTAGGAAGTATAGATTCGTACAATAGATTGAGCATTTTAGGGTGATAAGCTTTGCCTTGATTGAAGAGGTGCAGTATTGGATCCAGGAGTTGTATTCAATTTTTCAATTTCAAACTATCACTATCCCAGTGATACTCATTATATTAATATCCCTAAAAATACACTCTTCAAGCTTCAAGTAAATTTAATGATTTGAAAACTTCATATTTTGATGCACAACCTTCTACCATATTTATCATTTGGGTCACATAAAAAGTCTTATATAAAATATGATTATCACTAGTACAAATTAAATGTAAGTAGAAATATCTAAAAATGGAAAAAATATATATTTAAAAGGATGAATATTTATATTCAATGTCACAATTATAATTTTAGTAAAGATTAA